CCTGGCCTGTGCTGGCTGAGGCTTGGGTGGAGGCTGTGGGGTGAGAATGTTTAATTTTATTCTGAGTTAAGTAAAATAGCATGTACTGGTACTATGCAGTTGTGAAAGCTTGTTTCTGTTTGAGTTGATTGCAGTGTCAATTCATGTCCCCAAAGACTGCTTTATTTGCAGGTTTGGTTTAACTTGATTTCTCTCATATAATGTAGCAAGAGAGTATTTTTATATTTAAAGTAGTTATATTGCACGTTAATGTTGGGAAAGCAGGTACCAAAAGTTCATTTTGGCAGGCCCTGGTGCAGTAGTTTCCCCTCAGGCACTGGCTCTGCCCTCTTAGAAATTGGTGGTTGTCCCAGGGCTTTTGGCCTTGGCCTGTGGCTGTGTTCCCAATTGTCTTGATCCCATGAGTGCAGCTTATGCTTCAACATAGGAGCGATTTATCTGAACTGGAGTGAGGTCTCGAGAGAGACAGGTCCCTCATGAGTCCAGCAAGCTTAATGTGCAGGTTGTGACAGCTGCTGTGGCTCCTCATTGTTCTCCTCTCATAAAGGACTTCTTGTCACTTATTTTTTCATCTGGAGTGTTCCTTGTTGAGATCCTTAATGCAGAAAGAATTTGCTTTTTACTATGTGGATTAAAGATAGTGGAGAATTAGCCTTCCAAAATTGATGCTTAAATATAGCTTCAGAATAGGACTTTAAAATATTTTAATATTGAATTTGTGTGCCTGCCTGAATTAATCTTTAAATCCATGCTTTTGTAGTTACCTGGCCTACAGCCACCTTTCGTCATACTCTGATGTGAACAATTACATGATGGCGGAACCGCTTCACGTGAAGAACAAAGGTAATAAAGTTGTAGGTGGAGGTTAAAGCAGCAGAATCACAAGTGCCAATGTCCTGTTGGAAATCTCTCCGTTTTGAGCCTGAATTTCTGAAATATCTAACAAAAATCAGTATTTTGTGAACAAACAATACAAGGTATTTTTTGCCAATTGTAGAAACAGTACAGAAAGTTTTAACTGCAGCACAGCTGCAATAGAAGAGAGACTTTTGGACACAGCTTGACAAAAGTATCTTGACTTTGTTCTTCTGTACTTGTGTATATGCTTGATTACTAATAAACATTGTCAGTATGAGTATGGTTTATAAATACAGCTAACTCCTAATTATCCAGATTTGCATGGGCTGGAATGTCCTGCATAATTGCAAAAACAGGATAATTGGAGTACTGGGGAATTTGGTGCAGATACATGCAGTGGGAGGTGGAGTTCTTCAGCAATGTTTCTTGCCTTCATGAGTACCTCAGTACTGTTTGATCCATGTTCCCTGTTACTCAAAATAAGGGGTAAAAAAACTTGATTCTGGGAGATCTGAGATAGCTTCGTATGCAGCCATATTGGGTCTGGAGTGTTCATGAAATTTGATTTCATGTTTGGCAAGAGTTTTAGTTTAGGCAAAGTTTAGAAGATTAACTTGCTTCCAGGTGGGGGAAAAGGCCACGTCAGCTTTACGTTGGCTCGGATGAGAACTTGGGCTAATAAGCTTGTTAAACTGAAACAAGCTCAGAATGGCACATGTAGTTAACAACTGAAACAAATTTTTTGTAGGTAAATGAGTTTCCCACTTATAAAAACATAGTTCCTAGTATATTGGTATGCAGACTTAGCTGAATGTTTGTCTTGTGAGAGTTGTTTGAGAATAAACTCACTGGAAAGACCACAAGGCTTATAAGGTGCTCACTGGAAAGTAAAAAATGTCTTGTTATATTTTTGTGTCTGAATATTTGTTGATATGAGAAAACTATGCATAAGTATAAACTTTACATAGATCACATGTTCAACAGTATTGAAAGAAACTTGTAATGTTTCAGCTACTGTAAAATTGCATGCTATGAATTTCTGCCCTATGAATATTGGAAAT